GTCCAGAAAGGACGAATCGCTATCTAAATAGGCGGCCTGGAGCCTTGACCAACCGTCTCCCAGACAGGTGGCTGTTTGGTTGCCACACAACACCCGATTGCTGTCACACACCCCATAGTGACGCACGGACGACGTCAAACCACACACCAGGGCCACCACCACATCTGAGATAATATATTTAATCGTTGAATAATTTATAAATTTAAAAGAAAGGTATAAAAACTATATTTTTAATTATTTTAATATCTTACATACTTTTAAAAGTAATGAAATCTAACTTTATATTATTAATATCGAAAAATTCAACTAAAACTCCACTTATGATAAAGGTGTTACGGTTAGGATTTATTTATAGAAAATATCGCTATAAGTCGTAAAGTGTACCATCGTTTTTTAAAAAAGTATTATTAAGGTTTTTATTAGTTAAAAAAATGGTTAACAAATACTTCAACATTAATTATTCTTTTATTTAATACTTTTAAAGTTAAAAGTAAACCTAGTTTAACCTTTAATTTCTTTTTTCGTAATAATTATTATCATTTACTTAATGATTTACTTATTATACCCAAAATAGCTTTGTTTATAATCGATTTCGTTATAATTAAAGCATTGAATAAGCTTTTAAAAGCCGTGAACGTCTTTTTAAGCGCCTTTATGGCCTTTTTAAAAGCCTTTATGGCCTTTATTTTTGCAGGTATTTTCCGTCTTTTTCAACGCTTTTATAACTTTTATTAGGGTTATTATTATTATTATTAAAACTAATAAGTAATAATTAAACAAAGTAACCAAAATAATTGTTTTTAAATATTAAGGCTTATTGATTAAAACCTTTTTCAAATTAATATATAAAGTTTTAAAAGTTAGGATATATTTATGTTAAAGTTACGTAAAACTTTATAATAAAGGTTAATATATATAACGTAGCTGACAAGCGAGTTGACATTACAAGCGAGTTGGCACTCGTCATGAACTCTCCAACTGCCATGTCAAATAACTTCACTACAACGCATTCAGTTCAATTCAATCAATCGGATTCCTCTTTCTCAGAGGTTTCTATCTTTATTGTACAAGTTCGCGCATTATGGCCAGTATTGCCGCAAATGCCATACTGTCGCCCACGCGCTGCCGCCCGCCTTGGACGACGACTACCTTCACCTATTTCCTATTTTGCCAGCTTAGTACCATCCTTTGCAGCCTGAAGATCTATTGCATCTTCAACAGAAAGTATTCCTCCTTTCACTAGACGTTTGTTTTTTGTTCTCTGGCGTTTACTTAATAGGTGATTGGCCTCTTCTAGTTCGCGGACCCGGGAATCAACCAAAGCGACCTTATGCATAAGACCGTATGCAGCCTTCGAAAACGAGCTCAATGCATCAACTATTGATGTAGGTGAGCTTCCCTGGTGGTTTCTGACTCAGTTTTGGATATAAACCGATTGGTTTACCGCTTCGTTAATGGTGGTAGGCGTCTTCGAAGTCCAAGTAGTGGGTGGCAGATTGGGGTCTGGCGACGGTGTTCGTATGACAGCGACAGCATCCAGCTTTGAAATGACACTTTCTGGGTCAAAAGGAACAAGCCCAGTGGCACTGAAACCTGCTCGAATGTTTCCTGGCGTCATAGCAGCGTTGTGTGCTTCACAAAACGCTGCAAGGAAGTCTTCCTTTGAAACGTGGGTTATATGACGCCGGATGAGATCCTCAATCATGCGACCGTAAGCTCGTTTGAGCGGGCTAAAACAGCCGATATCTAGAGGCTAGAGCCTGTGTGACGAGTGGGCAGGCATACAAAGGGTGATAATGCCGTTGTTCTGACAATAATCCTCAAAGACCTGGGAATGGTGGCTTTCGTGACCATCTAGGATGAGGAGGCGTTTACCGGCAGTCATACGCGGTCTGGTATACTTGTTGAAATGCTGAATCTATTCCAAACCAATCTCATTCGTGGTCCACCCGTTGTCGGACACGGCCACCTTCCAATCGCGTGGTAATATTGTGTCGCGATACCATGACACGAGGTGGGTTTTGCCCTGTAGAATGATGAACGGCGGGACCACCCAACCATCAGCATTAACAGCAGAGATTGCTGTAAACCATTCCCTGTTGCCTTGCTGAGCTTGTCTAGGCCTGCCATGTCTTTCGGCGCTTGTAACGACCATGCCGGACCCAATAATGCCCATTATAAACCCAGTCTTATCAAAGTTGTAAATATCCGCGTCTTGGATACCATGTTTCGCGACTGCCGCTGCAACTTGACAAAACCACGCGCAATACGCGTCTGGATCCTCGTTCAAGACCCTCTGGTAGTCTATCTTCTGATAAAAACGCGTCCGGAGGCCTGGTGTACGTTTGATGAAGTTCCGCGTCCAGTTCTTTCCAACGCGTCCAGCCCCACGCGCCGCCAACAATTGATTCGCCATATCTTCAACATAACTGTACCGGGGCAGAAATGCTCGCGCATCCAGGTCGAGAATGAAGGAACAAATGGCATTCTCTTCGGAAACCATAAGTTTCAAAGTATTGGGCATGCTGTCGCGTTGTGATGGCATTCCTTTGACTCTATTGCTCAAAGTGGAACGAGGGACGTTAAAGAGTTTCGCAAGCTGAAATATAGGAATATGAGGGTCACGTCGTTTAGCTTGAACAGCTAGCTGCAAGTCTGATTCGTTATAACGCGGTGCCATTGTTATTGGTGGAGATATGATGGTTTGAATCGTATTGGTTGGAAAGTTCATGACGAGTGCCAACTCGCTTGTAATGTCAACTCGCTTGTCAGCTACGTTATAACTATTTATAAATATAAAATTTAAATTAAGGTATAATACATAATATTTCATGGCTACATACGATTTATTAATAGTCGTTATTTATTTATAAAAACATCGTTATAATTCTTGTATTAGAAAGAAAATAAACTTTTTAAACTATACTGATTTAATCAATTATATATTTAAATAAATACGACGAAAGGTAATTTAAAGTGAACTCAAGTCGTCCATATTATCGATTTATAAGCTAGCGTTTAACTTAATATTTTAAATAATCGAAAAATATATGATTGCTTTTTACGAGTTTATAAAAAACTTATTAAAGGTATTTTTAACGCTAATACTAGTTAAACACCCCCTTTGTTATTTCTTTTTAAAAAAGCCTTTAAAACTATTAACGTTAATAGCTAAAGTATTAACTTTATATAAAGCCTTATTGGTTTTAATAATAGCCTTTTAAATAAAAAGCTAAAGATTTACTACCTCAAATAGCTGCTTTATGACCCAATCGCCCGGATTATCGGGTGAATTCTGGACCGTGACTTCGTCTGAGAAGAGCGTTCGCATCAGCTCCTCCAGAGCCTCTTGGGAGTCGTATTTATTACAAAAAGCGAGCCTCTCTCGTGTGTCATCTTCTGTAAGCTCGATTTGTTTCGCCGCTTTCCACTTGCGAAGCCCGTGAGCGCGAAGAACGCGCTTAATAGTGGTATAGGAGCTGAGGACCCTGCTCTTTTTTTTGAGCTCTCTGTAGGTGGCTCTGGGGTACTTCTGTGCCGTTTCAACTAGCTGAGCTTCTTCGCGCTTGTTTAGAGTCCTTATGGCTCCCTCTTGAGGTCGAGAGACCGTGGTGTTATGCTCTCTAGCAGTGTTGATAATGTCGGTCACGGTTTGAGGCCGATCCAGATGGAACGCGCTCGTGACATTGTCGCGCCTTGCGCCTGCCGCCCTGGCAGCCACAATAGCTGCACGAGCTTCGGAAGTAAATTTGTGGTTTGGCCCGCGATTTACGGTAAGAATTGTACCAACTTTTTGTAAATCCATCGTTTTGGTGTTGAGTAAATAAAAGGTAAAGAAGGAAGGGGGTCGCGAGCGCGTAGACGCGTTTTGAAACTAGCGTGGTGGATGCTCGGAGACTTTTGGAGGGTCAGTGTAGCAACTCAGGGATATGTCGGAAATTCCTTCAATATTACCGGGCCAAGCACGGTTTCCTCTTGTGGGTTACTACGTCGCTGCTCGAGAGTTGCGTTGGGGCAGGGCTTGCCAGCCTACGCACACAGTCCTTTCAGATGGACATAGATAGTCTCACATTCATTTAGCTATAGACAGTACACAGCGCGCTGCAGCGCACAACTAGAATCACACTCTTTTCGATATTCAAACCTCGCGAAGCGCTATAATTTCCTTCGTAGCTTTCAGAGACTACCATGTTTGGTCCTGCTGCCAGTCGTCTGCCCTTGAGGCCAGGAGAGGGGGCGTGACTACTTGCACCGCTCTAATTCAGGATGTCGATGTCAAATTGAGTGAGGTAAAGGACGAACATAGCATCGTGATGCTTAAAATGTATCGGGAGCATTGCGAAACTTTTGCCACTCTGTACTGTGGCTGTTTTACCTCGTTATCACGAAAGCGCTTCCATTCAGCATCATGGGGGCCAGTAGCATGACAACCGACCGAATGGATATGGTCTAACTCGTACTACCAACGATATTACGTGGTGGAGAACAAGAAACTCGCCAACTCGTTTATAGTGGTGACAATTAGAGCATGGCGGCATCCACACAGCTACATATAGGTCACGATGAAGTGGTCAGCGCGAGTGCAGGAAGAGGCAATCGGAACACCTCGCAGATGTACAAGATGTCGACAAGACATGAGCTAACGTTATCATGACATCAAATAAGCCATCATCGTAGGAATTTAACCGGCTAAGTTGTTCATCAAGTCCCCGTCACGCCACAACAAATAAATTGTCGTCTCTTTTCTGCCCCCTCGATGCTTCCCGTTTCACCTCGGGCCCCAGCGCCGCCCTCTCTTCTACGCGGCTCTTATCCTGGTTTGAGTTTGAGCCCTCACTCCGAACTACCCATAACCCACTCTCAAGCACATTACCTTCTCTCTCCCTCATCTTCTTCCTCAGGTATGGGTTCATTGCCACCTACGACTACCTCGCGCCTGTGGGCGTAACTCTCAACGATGTTGAATACTCGTACAACGTCTATCGCATCGACCACGGTGGTTACGTGTGCGCGATGATCTGGTCTGCATAAAAACTCGACAGGCCTACGGGCACGGGCCTGAGCTGCCGGACACCCGCTTCCATGCGGGAATTGCTGAAGCTTTCGATGCTTCCCAGTACCTCGGCGCGGCGCGTGCGTTGAAAGGTGCGCTTCCCGACGGCCATATGCAACTTTGGACCGAGGATCTCGCGACTGCTGTCGCCCGTATCGCCGAGGCGTACGCCTACGGTGGATTGGTCTTGGAGGTCGAGACTTCTATGTGAGTGCAAAGTATTTGGCCGTCGATCGAAAGGGATGGCACAGTTTAGTGACGGCAACAACGTCGCTCTGTTACGTCCGACAGTACACCTAAGCAGTTATATAACCCCATCGGAAAGGGGCTACACTTCAAGTTTTACCGCCCATCCGATAACCTCCGTGTCATGGTATCCCCCAGGCCCTCTCTTCGAGGCATTTGAGCTCATCCCCTATCCTGGCCATATGTTCATCGCCAAGTCCCCGTGCAGAGAATTTGCTCTGGTCGATACACTAAGACATCGGAAGAGCGGTGGATGAATCGTCGTGCCGTCGATGTTTTCTCTGAAGCAAAGCTATAACTCGGGAACCTTCTTCAAGCTTTTCTCTTACTATGTGCGAAGCGGAAGCGTCCGAGGCCTCGCCCTTCCTACGCGATGCGGCAGGTGTGGCCGGGTCCGTTCGCTCGCCCATAAGCTCTCTGATGGCAGCGAGCTTCATAAGCAGATCACCCTCCGTTTCGGTCGAGGCAGCGATCGACATGTTCCCATACTCTTGCTTGTATCCCTTGTAGAGCTTGCTGGCTTCGAAATTCCCCGCTCTGCGCAGCAAATCCTGTTTCATGGCAACTGGCATGAACTGCTGTGTTCTCTCGATTCTGACAGTTTCCTCGAGGCCCTCAAGGATGACACGATCCACTGTCTGAACGCTGATCGGTACTGAGATCTCCTCTGTCTCGTTCTTCTCGTTCTCGGTGACCGTCGTAGTTGTTCTCTCGGGAGGCACAATATCCAATCTAGGGGCTTCCACGGCCTCTTCGAACCCCGCCGATCGCGATGGCAATTGTTCACCGGGTACTGCCAACGGAAGCACGTAACCTTCTGGGTTCTTGCCCCATTTCCACTTCGGACCAGAGACGGTCCTTGATGTCGCGCAGTTCTCTTGCTACGCCGTTGGCGTCGAGCCGCTGCTCCGGATTCGCTACCAGCATCTGGTGCCCTACCAGTGTGAGGAAGCCCGCCACATATGTTGAGCAACGGGGATGGTCGCGGACCTTGTTTATCCACTAGTGAGATGATCGCGTCGTCAGCTGCTGGACCCACGAAGGGATTGATAGAACCGAGGTGGTATTTTACCAGTATAACTTCCGGTTTCACCACCGCCACTATGTTCCCATCGGCGTTCAGATCGGGTTGCTTCCTGCATTAAAAGAACGTGTCCGCCTTAGAGCCCTTCAAATCGTATCCACCATTGATACGCTCGTCAACGAATTTGTCCATGGCGTCATACCCTAAAACGAGCCAAATAAGAAACTTTGAATAGACACAACCAAGTGACCATATATCGTATGACCTGGATACGCCGCTTTGAGGATCAATCTCGGGCGCATTCCACCCCCCGAGCTGAGGAAAAGTGTATGGGGGTTGGCTGTGTCATTGTAGTCATCCCGAAACACTTTGAAAAGGGGGTCCATTATGTGCCCTTTAGCAGATTCAACCGAGCTGGAATACCCGTCTAGTTACCTACCTACTACCATGTGAACCTCTCATCATCGTGAAGTAAAACACCAGATAAGACAGGACGGTTGCTCCTTTACTGCTAGTGTCAAAGCATGAACCGATATTTAAAGGACGGGTAAAGAGATGTTAAAGGCTGACACCAGGTTGCTATCTTGCTGCTTTGCTTCAAATAGGGGTTTTCCAGCGCACGTCAACACAGTCATCGTGAGGACACCTGGACCTCTGCCGACCGACTACAGACTGCTTTCAATATGGGCAGTCAGCGTTGCTCTGCTGCCCTATGTGAGCTCTCTGTACCCTATAACTCCCATCTGTAGCAAGGGAAAGCCGTCTTCGCCATGGCAGATCATGCCAGCTATCAGAGCAAGGGGGCACTTCACCACGTGCAGCGAGTCAATCTGCACCTTAGCAAAGAAACAACCAAGCTTGGCTTTCCTCCCAGCGAGCTGTGTACAGACAGACACCCCAGCTCGTGTTTGACCGGTCACTAACTCAGTCATCGTGAGAGCATGTTCCCGACGCAGACTTCGTGACCGCTTTCCGTACTTTGGCAGCTGTCCATGCCAATGAACCGCAAAGTGCTTCCTCTCCCCATTAAACCAATGCACCCAGCAACGCTGCCCCAGGTGACATCGATACGCCAACCGAGCACCGCGGCATCGCGTCTGACGTCGTTTCAATTGGCTCAAAGTCCTCCCTCGTCCACGATATCACAGCGAGGCCGATGAGGTCAGATTCCCATTCCGAAACAGTCCTCCATGTCGCAGAGCAGACCGGGCTTCGCAGATACGGGAAGGACTGACACAAGCCGAGACTCCCTACCCTCAACGCCCTACACCGGTAGGGAGCGCGCGGTAGGTATCCGCCACGGGTGAAGTCGATGAGAGAGCAGACAATCAAGTCCCGGAGAGGAGTGCCGCACTTCACTGCTCACCACTTGGCAGATACGACGTCTGTTTTGCCTCCAATCGACGCGACAGCAGCCATACTTGGCCAGACCAAACCGTATAGTGCCTTCCAAGCATCGGCATGGAATCGCCCAGCGCTTCGATAGCACGAGGCTGGCTGGCGTCGCAATTGCAACTCAGAAGGCCTGCGGCACACAAGAAGAAAACGAGACGCAGGCAAAAAGAGGCAGACGGTCCATCGGCAATCTTGACGGAGGGTGCATATATTGCGAGGCAACCAAGCGACATCGGACGCAGCAGCAACATGACCTACCTAGTGAGCGAATCGCGAACCGTTTGCATGCACAGGGTATCCCACGCCAGCCTCGTATCACACATCCCCATGCAAAGCTCTACACAGAGCATGAGCTCAATATCGCAGACGGGATAACGAGAACGCACCTCAAACGTCGTCTACCATGCCGATCTATTAGGCTACCATATGGCATCCACTCGGTACATACCTACCAAGACGTTAGGGAAAGGCGACCCATCGTGATTCGGGCGGTTGCTGGCTATCCTGCAGCTCGATCTGAGAACACCTACATGGTCAAGTCGCACAGGATCTGGAGTTTTCGAGGGGCGTTGCTCTCTCGGTCTGGGACACATATGAGAAAGGGGGTGGGGCGCGCGCCGTGAGAGTGAGCACATTAGATGGACGGGCCATTGCAGGGTCGTCGCCCTGCACGACCGGTGCACTAAGGCGCCGAAGTGAGTTGCACGACGTCGTCGATGCTGTGTGACTCGTGCGAGACTAGCCGTTGGTGCCCGCGACCCAGGCCTTGAGCCCGTCGGAAACTTCCTTCGGGACACTTGATACCGGTGCTGCATCCCAGGGGGAGGAGACCGGGATGAGTCTGTAAGGCAGTCAGTCAGTCAGTCCTCTTCGTTTCCGCGGCCCACTACGAATGTGCGGCTTTCCGTGCGATGAAGGGTGGTTGCTTCTTGATCATGCAGAGATCTCCCAAAGCTTCGACATGCGGTCGCTGCACAGTGCTGTTCATTTCGCCCCGGTGACAGAGTCAAGCCGGCGAGCAGATTGGACTTGTCATCGTCATGGAGACTGGTCGTTTCCTGTTCTTCACCGGTTGAATACAGCCTGGCGTGGATATGTCTCGCTATACCTCAGCTGTAAAGTCGCCACTCCGACAACCATCGTTACAGGTTCAGGGTGGCGCGTACAGTTTCTCGTCGCAGATTGGCCGTCTTGCATGGTCGTTAGCTAGTCCACTCACTTGCAGCCAGCACCGAACCAGGCAATGAAGCAAAGCTATACCCCCCTTTTCGCTAGGCCCTACCACCTGCCGAGCGCTCTGGACTGGCTGGGCAATCTGGCTCGGGAAATTTCCCAGCAGCTCGTGATCTCCTATTCTGGGACACGCCGCCCCTGAAAGCCCCAATACCTTGCCCTAGCGACCGTTCCTGTCCGATGTATCGGTAAGGAGGACGCGGGCTCAGTTCCGTGCGTGACCCCTACCGACTGCCAATGGGCTGGGAATTGGCGGACGACTTTCCTCCTCCTCCCGCAGAAATCCTGATGCCGACGCCGTCCTGGCGGCTACACTAGGTAGCCCGAGTCTCTGGGTGCGGACAGGGTCGAAAGTACGAAATGTCCCGAAGCAGGAGGCCGAGCTGCCGGAGTGGAGGTCGACGAGTAATCAACCGTGTGACTGGCTGCTGATGATGCTATGCCGTTGGCGGTGCGGCCAGCGAGGCACCAGGGATCACCAAGCCACTATGCGCTCTTCTGAGCTGCGTGCAGGATGGCAACCGAGGTGAAAATGCATGTAGCCAGCCGTGAGAGGAAGACACTTTGTGTTACCAGAGCATTGAGTAGTCCGGTAGGTGGCTTTCCTGGCAGCTTCACATCCCCTGCTCCGCTCATGCAGCCTCGGACGTGATGTGATGAGCAGCAATACAGGAACCGCAGCGTCGGTGCGGGGGGGACCAACCACGACACGCAGCGGCTGGGCAGGCATCTTCGATTGATTGCAGGTCGAATCCTTCTGATGTCTACGGAGGCCGTCAGTGGCTCGCTGGCGCATTGAATTGGCGGTCCAAGGAGCTAGGGACGCCATATTGTATCACGCTGCTGCGGTGCCTCGTAGGCGTGGGTGAAAAAACGCGACGATATCTCCCTGCCAGCAGCGATCATCCTGCTTCGCGTCGTACATGAGAAGATAGCTTAGGATCAAGCTTCAGCCCTATCTATGCAGCAATGTCGAGTCTCCGAAAAGAGCAAAAGCAAAGCAACATACAGCGGGGGAAAAGCGCCTCCACGTGGGCACCTACCAATCTTCACCCAATAATCATCGATGACATCGGGAAGAGTCTGGCCTCAGGTGTAGGGCCTCCCGTCTCGAACGATGACACCCACCCTTCACCTCAGTCCGCGCACGTTGGCTGGATGCAATGGTTCACATGCAGACCACTCACTCGCAGGCCTAGATGGTGCTGGTGGCAGCAGTGATAACCCGGAATCCAGAGAAGCGTTGGATGTGCCATAGCAAATCAGAGGTGTTTCACGAAGCCGCCCACTGCCGGCAGGGTTCTCCCTCGCTGTACCCGCGTAGCAGCTGAAGCTGTGCGACTGCAACTCGAGCAGGATCCAACAAGGTATGGGGAGACAGGGAAAGTCGTGTCGACGTACATACACATCTACTAGTGACCAGGCTCGGGCTGGGCAGAGTATGTAGTGGTGGGCGACTCCAGAGAGAAGAGGGGGCAGGAGTCAGCGCCTCTGTACAACTTACAAGCAATTTGATATGACGAGGGGTTCGAGGGGCTGGACGGTGCGTTCGTTCGTTGTGTAACCTGATAGATCGTTTTGCCGGCTCTCGTGACTAGGTATTGGACAGACATCCCAAGGCAGGATCCGAAAAGCACGCAGCATGAGCATAGTAATCGCCGTAATGAGGTGCCAAGCTGCTGGGACGGCCGTTGGCAAAGCAGGCCAACATGTCGACATCGAATATTTGACGAGCTGGGCTCGGCGTCAGCAGAAACGCCAACACATGACATGGGCGGCGTGCACGTAAGAGGCACGGCTGCTATATTACCCGTGATATGATTTCCCCCCTTGGATGAGAAGACATTGGTGTCAGCGCTTGCTTCAATGTTGCCTTGCAAGGTCATGCCATGCCTACTTAGATCAAGCTTCGATACCGTAGATTCTGGGGCTATTAGTCCTCCGGCGTGCCAACAGCCGAACCAGCCTTCAGCACTCGTTATCCACGCAGTGTACAGTAGGTACCAGGTTGAAGACGTTGTTGTGCAGCAGAAACTCCTTGACTCCGGGTTTTCGAAGATGATGATGTCTCTACGTTTGGTGGGTAGTAGACTGACAATGGAAAGGTACCGCCCACCGTAACGTCGTCAACGCATGTATTGGGTAGTCGTGGCGCTCTGGGCACGCCCGAAGAGGTGTTGTTCATGGCGTTGGAACGCCGAGGGCGATGCTGATGTCTCTGACTGCCGGGGCCATGCAACGGTGGGCGGCTCGAGCAGACCTCACCACCACCGCATTTAGCAATGCCTACTCCCATCTCGTATCTGCCCCGCGATGCCCAGGGAGGTTGCAACACCCGTCTGCAGTTCACAGGAGGGTATATTACCTACCTGCCTGCCTACGATCACTAGGTAAGTAATAAGTAGCTGTACGTGTAATCTCACAACAAGATGCCGGCCGAGGGATACGACAGCAACCGGCGGTGGCGACGGTCATGTGCAGGTTGTGAGTGAGGTTGGACAACCTGGTTCGAAGAGAACGCTCTCTTCCCTCGCCTCGGAGAGAACTGGCCTCTGGCATGTTTG